CAGAGTGAAAGAGTTAATATGCTTCTGTATTTATGAACGGTAACATCATTTCAGCTACAGAATCTCTAGGGGAAAAGTGTTTGTTTTCTTTCTGGATATTTAGAGCTCTCAGTGTTGACCTTGTTCACAGTACTGCTGAAGGAACAACCAAGTGGAGCCCTCACAGAGGCTGAGGAGAACACGGTTTTGGCAGATGAGAGGGAAAAAAAACCCCTCTAAATATTAAATAATGATTTCTACCAGCAGCTACTGGTCATGGGAAAAAAATTCTATAAACAAAGAGATACAGGCATTAGCAAAATTTATATTTATCATCAAGTATAAAATTGCATTAAACACATTTGTAAACCAAATAGTATATATGCTGAAGACAGAAAAAGATCTCATTACTTTTATGCATATTTTTTTAGAAAAAGAAAAAGTGTTTTTTTTTCTAAGGTAAGTATACACAATCTAGTTTGAATGATGTTTTTATGAAAAGAACAGAATTTGGGTATTGATTAAATGTTTCTGCCATTATTTTGATTAAGCAATCGTGTCTGAAGTATTAAATCACCTCATTAGTGAGAGAGTTGATTGGACAGAGGTGATGAGGTCATTTGACCTGTTGAATGTTAACCTTGGTGAAAAGCAAGAAAAGGAAAACAGAGAAAATCTAATTTACCCCTGTATCAGGAGAAGAAAACCTTCATGCTATTGATATATTGCAGGGTGGATTAAGTAACCTCAGGTGGACTCACCAAAAGTGCAGCTGAGTGCTCATGAGGTAAAAATCAAGGTTTTGTGTAGACTACCCTGGTATAGTAATGACATGCAGAATGATACGCTAAATGTTGTGCGCAATGCACCTATCAGTGGGGAAAGTGTTGTCACTACAGAACTCCAATTGTAGTGGTTAATGGCAAACTCACTGCATGGTGATAAACTGGCAAGGGTCTTGGACCCTGATTTCTGCCCTTCCTGTAAGCTCATTCAGATGTGACAATATTCCAGCAAGACAAGGCACATTCTCATTCTGCTCGTGTAACATCATTTTGCTGTCAAAATAGGAATGTGACAGTTATGATATGGACCTATTATTCACCACACTTGACCCACAATGGTCTTTTGTGGGATGAGCTGGAGTGACCTGTGGCATCTAGGGCTCAGAGACCAGAGAATGGATCTATGCTTCCCAAAGAGCTATGGGAGAAATGAGACACAATCCCATAAGACAGGATTTGCCACCTTGATGCCAAGTGCCAGTGCACTTGCTACACAAAAGATATAAAATGTGTTATACTGCACATACTGTTATACAGTGTTTTTTAGAGGAGGTGCATCAAATGCCACACAAAATGTCAGGAGACAGGAAAATAATGTATACATTTATTTCATTTTCAGTAATGGTCTTATTTTGTTTAATTTCAGTCTATACTTGAGTTTTTTCTATTTCATTTCAAAGTTCTTATTATAGCCTGACATAGCTTGGACATATTTTGTTATAGAAGGGTGGAGAATATAGGTTTCATACCAAAGGAAACAGGAAATAAACACAGTTCATCTTTTTCAAATACACTGGCCAATTGGTCTTCTCTTTAATTAACAAGAGGAGCATTATTTCTAAACTGTGTAACAACCTCAGAGTCAAAAAATAAGAATAGACTGTTCTTTTATATCGATTCAGAAACTTTTGATTTATCTTGATCAAAGTAAAACATATTTTCACTTGATTACAGTAAAAAAGAAAAACAGAATAACTGATACTAAACTCCAGTTGGAGTTTCCTAGGACACAAACTGCTTTTAGGACACAATTACAGTAAATTGCTTGAATGTGAAGCAATAATAATAGTTTTGAGTTTGTGGTCACAGTACTTTTGGAGGATCTTGCAAGTCCCCAAGTGCTGAGAGCTTATGGAAAGTTTGCATGAAAAACAATAGATACTGTACATGATGTGTCCTGTTAACCTGAATCGAAGACTGAAGCTTTAGATCATTTTAACTGATTACTTTCAGAAATTTATTTCTGAAAATATGTACTGCATATGTACAACATCTTTCCCAGTACCCAACTCCCACTTACAGTATGAAGATAGGAAGGTACTGTAATTGTTGTGGATACATACTGTACGGTTCAGTGGAAATACTGTAGACTGAGTTGCAATCTGAAAATTTGAATTTATCAGAAACATTCCTTTAACCAAGCAGATGTGCTCAACATCAGAGTCACCCAATTAAGTCTCAGTTCTAGTAAGTGAGGTACATCTCACTGTTTTTCCATTGTATTTCTTGCTTTGGTAGTAATGCAAGACAGTAATTAACAGAGTAGGCGTTAATTAATTTGCTTTATAGGTTTAAATAAAACATGCCTGGCTAAGTGAAGACAAGACTATCAATTAGGACAAGACTGTCTGACACATTTTATGAGGGATAAGATGGGGAACTGCTGCAAAGGCAAAGATGGGGTGGAGGCAGGGAAACAAAAGAAAATGCGCAAGAGAGTAAGCTACAAATGTGATGTATAAAGTTAGGCAGAGGTGGGTGAGATCATGGTGTGACCTCCTGCAGAAATTTCAAGTGTAACTCCATAATGCCTATTGCCACAGTCCAGTAATATGCACTAGTTCTGTGCTGGCACTCAAATGGTCGCATACTGTAATATAAAAAACACTGTTGCATGTTGTGACAAAAAACAGATGTCCAGCACGGCTTTATAACTGTTCTTTACTCCCTACATACACACATGGACTCAGTCTTTAAAAATAAAAAAATGCATATTGCAATAATAAAAATAAAATTAAAATTTGTAGTCCATAAAAATAAACGTTTTGGCAGGATTTGGAAGACAGATGGAATCGAAAAGAAAACAGCGCTTTGCTCCAAAACATGACACCCTGTCCTCTATTGTAAACAAAAGAAGCTATTAAACTCAGAAAGCTACATCTGATAATCCATCTTTCTTCTAATAAAGACTAAAAAAAATCCCAACGTGCTTCATGGAATTGCCTTTCAAAAGCAAGCCATCATCTTAAGCAGCTTAAAATATTAACAAATGCAAAATTATATTTTGGCTATGATCCATTCTCCAGCATAAAATGTTTAAATGGCTCCATGAAGCTTTTTAAACATAATGGAATTCCAAAAGGCAAAAGTATACGAACAACTATTTTTTGTTTATAACAGAAATAGCCCCAGATCAGATTAAAGCTGTTTTGCACTGCTCTTATGACACATCTATACTAATTACTCTCTGGGTTGATGTACACAGGGTCAGACTACATTTACTCAAGTACTTTAGTCATAATGCACAATAAGAAGAAGCCATCAAAACTAATGGAAATGCAAAGGTCATCATAACAAACGATTACTGCTTCTTCTCCATTTTCTGGCGTGTATCCCACGGAGTGAATCTCGGCAGTTACACATTTTACCCTGTGTTAGAAGCGCACAGCAGTAACCATTTTCTTTTAGACCCCAATGAGGCTCAGAGATGCTGCTACACAGCGATCAGTTATGATGGCTCTGTGTACTGAAAACCTTCGTTGTTGATATAATCCAGAGCCTTTTGCCTAAGGGAGCGTCACAGCTGCTACACTGTCCCGGGGCCAGGCTGGGAACCACAATTAACCCGTACAATAACATGCCACTAGAGAAATAAACTTCACCAATTAGCAGATGGGCCAACCAAACACTAGAACACTCAGAAGAGTGAGCACAGAGGCTGGTGTCTAGAAATTTGATGCATTGACTGAGATTTTGAACACTTTTTAGACAATATTGCATGACACCATTTCCTCTTTGTTGCTCTATCATGAAAGTTTGAAGCAAGTACCATTTTAAACCATTGTCAATGAAATGCACACCCATGCCTCACTTAATAATGAATGAACACAGTCTGGGAAACCGACATGCATTTAGAAATTCAAAGAAATATCAGAATTCCACACCTCATTCCATTACATGTACTGTGTGCAACAGGAGGAAACTGTTATAATATAAATTTTATTATATTCAATCAGTCCTGTGATACAGTATGTACTTACATTTCTTAGAATTTCCCAATTTATTTTTTTTTCTTGGTAAGAAAATCTGTTTATTAACCTCTTGCTTATAATTTGCAGGTTTCTCAGTTTCTCATTTCTCAATTTTGACATACGTTATGTATATTTCACAACAAAGTAGCAAATAAGTATACAGTATATGCATCTTCATAATCTTGAAATATTGACACAGCAGACTTCATTTTGCCATATATTTTATTATTTATAATAATTATTTTATCTTATTATAGGGTCTATATTTTTAAGACATGACAAATATAGCTTAGGTATTTGTATAAATGGCCAGAAATAGAACTGGTAATTACATTTTTTTAAATGACATTAACAAGAAAATAACTTTATAGACTGAGAGTGACCAACTAGTTTTCTAGATTTTGTTACAATATTAATATCAGCAAAATATATTAAACATCGGTACAATACAATATTTAATGTTATCTGTTAGAGAAAGTGACATACGGGTATGTGGGATTTAAATATAATATGATTTAAACAGAGAAGCTTAATAAAGGAAATCATCTCACATAACATAACATCTTTGTATTAAAGAAGTGCTACAGGCATATATTTTACTAGGATCATTCTTTAAGTGCACAGAAGCATTTTTACACTGAGCATTTCAACCTTATTCTAGACCTGAATCCATAAACATTCCCAGAAAATAACAAGTATAGGCATTCTGAATACCTTTCTTTAGTATGTTGCCAAATCAGTAAAGTATGAATGTGCATACACAGCAAACAGAACTAACTGATGACAAATAGAACTGTCTATGTTTATCATATACAATTAGTAGGTAAAAATGAATAGTTTGAACACCAGGGAAAATGTTCCAAAACTGGCTCAATATAATGAAAATCAATGTATGCTATGTAATGAAACAGTGAAATGGATACAGGCACGTGGTAATAGTGTCTATTAAATGACACTGAAAAAAAAACAAACATTGTTGAATTCATATTGTTGCTTGGTGCAATTTAATATAATCAGTGATAGCAGAAAATACATACTGGGAAATATTTTTAAACCCCTGCCTTTTAAACCAAGGATTTAAAAAGTTTCAAATTACAAGTTTACTGAACATTTGGATTATTCCCCCTTTACGAATAGTTATCAGGATCCATTAGATTGACCAAAATGTGTGAATTTGTGTTGTTTGACAAGGATACATATACTGTGAATTATAAATGTTATTTTAAGACAAACAGTAAAATAACTCCAGTTAAGTAAAAAGTAAATAAAAAGAACTGTATTGTAATACTGCTTTGATATAATAAACAGTATCAAATGAGGAAAAGTTTAACACTAAAGCATTAATTCTGTTCTGTTTAGAGGCAGCTGTAAAAACTGATCCTATTTCAAAGTATCTGTGGGATTATGAGCTTGATGGCAAACCTTGTTACTACTGAAACAGATAGTTCAGCTCATTCAACGGGTTCTAAACCTAGACCAAATTTTAAAGTAGCAAAAATGTAGGGTATCCTCTAAATCACTGGTCTTTTCTCCTTTGTTGACATCACATCTTTATGTGAAAACTTGGTAATATAAATATAGAGATCAGAAGCAAGTAAACAGTGAAGAAAATCAAGAGGGAAAGCAGCAGCAGACATTCACAAACTGATTTGTTGCTTCTGAAAAAGCAATTAAATGAAGCTAATGACCAGCATCACTCATTCAGTAAGTTATCTTGTACACAGGGTCTCCAACTTGAAGGATTCCAGTTTTGTCAACGCTGTAACACTGTCCAAACAGTGGGGATGTTTTATAAATGCTCTTCTCGGATGGATCACACTGACGATAGCTACGTAAAGATACACATTAATCAAAATGACAAAAAAAAAAACAATACGGTTAATAAAATGCAGATGACATTCAGAAAACTATGGCACTGTCTTGAACAAATTGTAAAAGAATACGTAATACAGCCTATCTGCAAATATAAGAGCCTTTATATAACAATATCAACATTTACCAACTTTTTCTATTTTTTTATTTTTATTTCTTATGACATGTACAGTGATGATATGCCTTGCAAAAGTTTTCAGACCTTTCTTATGGTTTTACATGTGAAATTATAGAATGATGCCAAGAGTACATGTTTTTTAAACTTAATCTTTTATGAATAGAAAATAATTCATGTACGAACTGAAGACTTCTAAGGGCAAAATAGGTTCTTGGCTTTTACTGTAAGACAACTAAAATACTGTATACTGAATGCACAAGTATCTAAACCTGTGAATTCAATTGGTAGAAGGAACTTTGGCAGTAATTACAGTTGCAGATCTCTTTGGGTAAGACTAACTTCTCACTTTGACTCGGTATGCTTTTTGCCCCTTCTTCTTGGCAGATTTGCTGAATCTCTCTGAAGTTGCTTGGGAATCACATACGGACAGCAGTTTTCAAGTCTTTTTGCTGATTGTCTCACAGATGCAAGTAAGGGCTTTGATTGGGTCACTCAAGCACAATTTCTTATTCTTAAGCCACTCCAGTGTAGCTTTAGGCTTGTGCCTCTGGTCCTTGTCCTGTTGAATTTTTCCACAATTTTGGATCTGAAGCAGGTTTTCTTCTAAGACTTCCCAGTACTCTGCTTCATCTACTGATTGTTCCCCTCAATCTTGATAAGCTTCCCAGTCCCTGATAACAAGGACCTTATTGTTTGTCCCAGTTTTAGTTCTGAAGCAGGTCTAGATTGGCCAAAACACTGTACCATCAATGTTCCCATCAATCTGACAAGCAGAACTATAACATATTGGTGCCACCACTGTGCTTGATAGTAGGGATGTTGTTGATGCACTATATTGGGTTTGAGTCAGTTGTATTGCTTTGCAATAATGTTCCAATTTTGTCTTCTCTGACTACAAAACCTTTTGCATTATCACTTTATTCTTTGTCCCAGTTTTAGTTCTGAAGCAGGTTGCTCTCTAGAATTGGCCAAAACACCGTACGATCTATGTTCCCATCAATCCTGACAAGCAGAACTATAACATGATGCTGCCACCTCCAAGCTTGATAGGTAGTGATAGCGAGGGTAAAGACTGAGGGTAATGATATAAATCACATGTGAGCAGTATTACTTACTGTTTGTGCTTCTTTGCAAACCCTATATAGAATTTGAGGTGTTTTTTTCAGTTCCAAACAAGCCCCTTTTGTAGAGTATCTGGGATATTGTAGACCCATGGACATTTTATCCAGTCTCAGTCACTGAACTTTGTAACCACTTCAAAGTTGTTATTGGCCTGACAGTGTCATCTCCAACCAGTTATCTCCTTGTTCCGCTACTCAAAGCCTGACCTAGGATGTGTCTGGGTGCCTTTACTTTCTCAATGATCATCGATGTTCTCAAAGAGATATCAATGGTCTATTTAATGTTTTTTAGCCTTCTCCTGATCTGTGTGTTTACACAACTTTATTCCTAAGTTGATCTGAAAGGTCCTTGGTTTTCATGGTTTGAATACCTATGCAATTATGACTTCTATTTTTCTTTTATGTTATTTATTTACTTTTTTTTGCTTTTGAACATGTGAATGGTAATCCCTCATTCATCATCAAAGCTTAATTCATTCATCAAAAACTGCTCAGAAGATTGAATAACAGAAATGTAATTCCCATTATGCCCTGCGTTAAACCGACTGGTTCCAGAACTCAAAAATGTTCCCTCAAACACACAAACTTCACCTTAAGACAGCACAGAACAGTACCTAAGTAATAAAAAAATAATACACACGGTTAATTATTCAAGTAACACTCTTAAATTCATTATTCAATGCAAATCAATAACACCCCTCATCATTTACAGTTCAATACAGTAGTTATGCTACTACAATCAGTAGCAAATGCTTTTGCAAGGCACAGTATACACTGCTTTACAGAAGTCTTTCAAATTTTAACTTATTTTAAAATTTAATTTGTAAATATGATAAATTAACTACTGTGATCAGGTTTTAGAAGATTTTGACTGATGTGATTAAAGTTGCTTAAATGACAAGCTTTATTTCTTCTTTCCCGAACGAAGCAGTACTAAACCAAGTTGTTATAATAAAACAATACAGTAGTGAAACATAAGCATAAACTTACATTGTATTTAACAAAATATATAGATGACGAAAACCAATACTGAGACACCTTACCAAAAATCAACAGTAAAGGGTATAATTTTGTGTTTTCCTTTTAAGGCTTATTTTGTTACAAATGTAAAGACATCTTTAGTGAATATTAATAATAAAGAATAGCTTCATTAACCCAGATAGAAAATATACTTATTATGACTGATGCATAAAGACTTTGTCAAACATTTTGATATCAAATGCTATTTCCATATTTTACAATTTGTTCTCAACTAAATTAATGTTCTTAATGCCAGAAATGTCAATATATAGCTATGCTACAATAATCATATATCAAAATCATATTCTCTCCTAGCTTTTTTCAATAGATACTGCCGGTTACTCATCAATACTGCTTCCAAGTTTCTGTTGGAATAATGGGACAGCAACCCATCTGTGAAATAACTCTAACAGAAAACTCGATTAACAAATTCACTAAATTTTGATTATCACATTTAAAAAAAATATATATTAAAGATGCAGCAATTAATTCTACTTGTTTTATGTTAATTATAAGATATATCAAGGAAATGTCAATAAATAAATGAAGGAAAATTATTATAGACAGACAATTCTAATTTTATCAGTTAACATATATTTCTGACGGTTCTTATTTACATGTTTGCTGTTAACTTTACATGGCACCATGCTTATTTTAGCTTTGTCCCTACCTTTTTGCTGGATCTGAACACTGTTGCTAGACAATTTAAAGTGGGGGTCCATTTTGACTAGGGAAGAAAGCTCTAGTGATTTACTGTAAGAGCTTTAAGAAATATGAGGAAATCTAAAGAACAACATATACCTCAAGTTGATGCCTAGATGGGCCACACTTACTGCTGTTTTCCAGTGTTCAGGCATTTTAAGTCTATTTGAAGAGAGTCTATATCTTGATTCTCTAATAAACCATTCTGAATTTGACCTATTTGTGAAGCATACTTAAAGACATGATTATTCATAACCTTACAAATATAGTACTTAAATGTTTCTCAACATTTAGAAGAAATAAAACACAATTCTGTTAAGTACTGTGATGTATTAAATGATAATTGAAATTAAACAAAACAAAATCAATATTCCAACTGTACAAAGAACTGTACAACAAAAGAAACTCGATTAAGAACTTCCAATAATCAGGAATGAAAATCATTCTTGGTACTGTATGTTCTCAATAAATATTAATTGTAAATACCTTTTGAGGGTTTCCAGAGGTTCCTTTCGATCAAAGGCGCCTGTTTCAGGATCTACAGTTACGAACATGCACCTGAGAAAATCAGTAATGGTCGTATTTCACACCACTAGGCACAGGTATAACTAGACTGTCTTTCAGCTCTAACTAGGAAGTGAACTAATGTGATTCGATTTTTAAAAAAAGTGTTAAAAACTAGTTTCTAAGTAACGTTCTGCTTTTCTGAATATCTTCAAATTCTGCTTGATGAAAAATATAAATTGGTTAGCCCAGCCACTGAATCATAAGTTTTGTAAACCTTTCAGTAACAGAATATAAAAATGCAATGTTCCAGCTATTCTAGTGACCCATTTAAAAACACATCAATAAATCATGAAGGAATCTGCCCTTTACTGCTATAACAACATCAATTTTAGAACGTTTTGAGCAAATCTGATACAACAAGCTTTGCTTTTGTAACTCATTGTTACAACTTCTGGCATCTGGTATTTTTTTACTAATATAATTTGGTAGTTTTAACAAACTTTGCTCCCAGTTTTATTTCTTTTTTATAAACCGATTTGCAGCTTTCTTTTCCATTATTTAAATGGAAAAGATAAATACTAGTTCAGTAGTTAATATGCATGTACTACAAATATATCTACTATAGTCTTTATATTAATTACAGGTAAAAAAAAAGAATTACCTCCCACAGGCCATCACTCGATAAAGACTCACACTACCAATCTGTATTTCTTTCCAAGAGTCCTTTAAAATCACACAGACAAGGACAAACAGGATAAAACAGGATAAATAGGCCCAAGTGGCTGCTCTCTGCAATTTCTGCACATTCAGGAGAAAGTTACATTATAAAAAGGATCTCAATTCCCCTAGTATTTCATTTACATCTACACAGGAACAGTTATAGTGGGAACACAGTATAAATACAAAGGCAAGCAGAACTAAAACTCATTTATTTACAAAGTCCATGGGCCACATTCCACCCAGCAATGAAGAAATAGTAGGATAAAACATAGGATAGCCTTTTATTGTTATAAAATCCGATTTTTAATTTTTAATAAAAGAGTTATATGGTTTCTGTGGTGTCCAAACTATGTCTAGCTATGTGGAGACCTAATTTTAATTAACAATGAAAAATATTTTGCTTTGACACATTCATAAGCAAGTACATCAAAAGTAATCACTTTCAGAACCAAAATTCTTTAGTATCCCAATCAATAGCTGTAAACGCACTGGTTGGTAGAAATCAGGTTTCCCCCTTTCAGCTGAGGAAATGTGAAAGAATGAAAGAAAAGAAAAAGTTTTCTTTGAAAAAAGAGGAGTTTTCTGACTGCAAAAGCAGACTGCCAACGGTGAATGTTCAACATTCAAGTTTGATATAACTTTGCCCCCTAGTGATAACAGCAAAAATAGCAGTCAAGAATATGGATGAACTTCACTTCCAAAAGTGTATTATTTTCAGGGCCCACCATACTTCACTTACTATTCCAGCATTGCTATATTCATCATATAATTTGTTCTTTCTTTCAGATGAATAGTTTTGTTCTTTCTTTCAGATAAAGAAGAAAGTAAGTTCCATCAACTCCTTAAAAGCTCCAATTGTAAAAGAAGCTAGTTAAATAATACACTCCTCAATTTTAGCTGTACTGTAATTTTTAAAATAGAAACTTTGATACATTTTGAAACTGCTATCAAACAAAACAGTCTGAAGAAGTTTGTAAGCAGTTGTTTGCAGGGGGACAGAGTGCAAAGCTGCATCAGTGTGTGGGCTGCAAAGCAACAAAGAGATGTTAATTCCACACTGAATGTTTCAGGCTGTGGAGCATTCTTCATGTTCTTAACACACCTAACAGAAAAACTGTGTACTTTCCTTTTATTTTAGCATTTTTAGCATGACCCTTTTCTCTGTGAAGTATAAGCCTGCAAATAATTTGCTACTGCCCAAGATATTTTTTAAACAAAGTACTCCTACCCTAATGGGTTACTCTTTTTTTAAACCCCCCAAAAAAACAATTGTTTATTTCAGCTAGGACAACCTTCAACTATCCTGATTGTGAATGCAGTTTAAAGACCATGCTATGATACAGTGGTAGACATATCAACCATTATGGACCATAAAAACATTTAAGAAAATATTGAACTTAGAAAATAATTACCTCTGCGTAGGGTTCACATCCAGAGACGACAATACTAGGCCTGAAGTTTGCAATTCCAACCTTCCGCTCAAGCCTGGTGTTCAGGTCCTCTACAGAGCTCTCTGACAGCAACATGATAGGGCTGAGGTCTGGATACACAACCTGAGTCCACAATACCTTTGTTTAGTTTGCAAGTGAAGGATTGTTTTTATATATCTTTTATATAAGACCATGATAATCTCAATTTATTGCAATTTTAACACTAATGCCTGTACTTTCTGTGTAACCCAGCGGTAACTTGAAGCACCAATGTGTAAAAAGGTGTTTGTGTTTAAAATACCACTTTTGTTAGCAATATGTCCTTGTAACTCTTACATAATTCGTTGACCACAGGTAGCTACAAATTCAGTTTGTGATAACAGAAAGGCGAGAAAAGAAATTCATCCAGCTGCTGGAAGAATGGGCTGCGTGGGAACGAGAACTGTAATTTCTGTTATCCGTCTATAAAGAGAGTTCTGATCAGGGAAACTGACAGAGAAAAATACAGAAAAACTTTTTCTTCCTCTCATGCTGCTGTATGGTGCCTTAACTTCAGCTGAAATAAAGGCCTGATGATTTCTTCAACTCTGTAGCCTGGACTCTAATTCTTGTCCTGGTTTGCCTTCAGTGAGGTAAAACAAGCTCCCTGACTTCAGGGATCTTTTATATTACCTTATCATGGGGTCTGAAGAGCTCCTCTGTTTCACAGGGCCTTCTCGGCTTCATCCCAGGCTCAAACTGCACCAGGCGAAATGTCTTCCCGCTGGCCAGGTAGCGGGAAATCCAGGCAGACACCACCTCTCCACAATCTCTGCCTTGAATATCAGAGCCCCACACTCTGAAAGATACAATAACAGCACCTCACCAAATCTGAAAAATGTTCAAAGAGTTCTTTCACGTGTCTCTGTCCAAGACATGTTCCCCCACTGTAAAGTAATACTAAGCAGTTCAGTATTATAGCTAGTCAGCGTCTGTGAGTGCAGTGGATGCACAGAAATATGAAAAGGCATGATCTATGCATGTACACACTTTAGAAACTTACAAATACTTCAGCCTCAACACATTCACATGACTGTTCAGGTTTCTTACGCCACTTAATTCTTTTCCTCTTAAGTGTGGGGGATCTTATGATTAAAGTTTTCATATCCAAAAGACGCTAAAGAACTATGTGTTTTAAACCTGACGTAATCAACAAAGCTCGCTTCTCTTTTCTGGTATATTTTAACAACACTGAGTAAAATGACACACAACTGCCTAACGCGAGAAAAACAGCTCCTGTGGACATCACCAGAAACTTTTTTAAAAAAGACCTTCCAACTATAGGTGGAGCTTCTGATGTTTTGCACCTATGGGATTTTATTCTTTTCTGCATCACTGGAGAAAAATATAAAAAAAGAATGAATACAGTGTTAGGAAATGTGCATCAAAGAAGTAGCATTAACCAAATTTATAAACCCTTTATTAATCATTGATTAATTATTATGGACTCAAATCTTTTCAACTGAATCGTTCAGAGGTGCAGCTACAGCAGCATGATAGTCTACAGCTATGGAGATGCAAAACTCACTCGCAGTTAAGCAGAAAAATAAATGGATTGTATGTACAGAAGCATGTAGATTTACATTAGAAGCAAAAGCATTAGCAATACATGAAAAACATGGTGGGAAAGATTAAGATGGAGGTCATATTTAGGGTCAAGTTGGGACAGCTGGTAGTAAAAAAAAACTGGACATCTGCTACAGGTAACCATAAACTGAAAATAAAATCTGATGCATGATGCAGCTGACACACATTTACATTCTCCTGATTTGAAAAATTTGGTTCACGAACGTGAGATTGTTCATGATTTAAATCTGGCTTCATTCCCAGGACAACATGAGTCATGAGAGAATTACACAGCTGAGACACTACACATTTGGATGTTAAACACACTGCTTAGAGCCAAACTAAAAATAATTATTTCTAAAAAATAACTTAATACTGTCAAACAGGGACAATTTATAGTGTAAAAGGAATTTTTCATTGTTTACTTGAGCTACATTTTATTTTTATTGCTTTTTATTGAGATCCCAGCTGTAACATTGGGTGTGTGAAGGACCCAGATGTTCAACACAGATTTGATGATGTGCTTAGTGCTCCTCACAATGCAATATTCTAATGAATTACTGTTCATTACAAGCTAATGAACCTAGGACACATTTTCAACTTTTGGAGTAAAATAAATATGACCTGTCACAAAGATAGTTTTTAAAGGAGGTCCTTATGGGGGCGGAGCGGTGGCTCTGTGGCTAAGGCTCTGTGCCTGTGGCTGGAAGGTTGCTGGTTCAAATCCCACAGCTGACAGAGGAATCCTACTCCGTTGGGCTCCTGAGCAAGGCCCTTAACCCCAACTGCTCCAGGGGCGCTGTACAATGGCAGACCTTGCGCTCTGACCCCAGGCTCTCTCCCTGTCTGTGTGTCTCATGGAGAGCAAGCTGGGGTATACGAAAAGATAATTCCTAATGCAAGGAATTGTAAAGGGTTAAAAAAGTAAGTGATGTTATGTTAATGTTATATAATAAGTTTTAAATATCTCAACTTACAAGTAGCATATACAGTACAATGTGTAGTAAAGGTATTCACCCCCTTCCAATGATGTTTCATTTTGTTGAAGTATCAATGATGTATAGATAATTCCTTTAGTGAACATTAAGCAAAACAATAATGCACAAATTCAACACTTTTGGGTGAAAGAAGTAGAGGCCCTGCACCCAAATGAAAAACAAAAATCAATTGTTATCAAGTTTCATTGTGCTAGGTTATTTAATGTATTTATAGTTGTGTAATATACATATAAAATCAAATATTTATTACAAATTGCAATTTGAAAGCAACAGCTCCTCGATTTAAACCACAATAACAGTAAAGAATTCAATAAAGGTTCAATAGCTCAGGGCTCTGGGAGGAATAAAGTTGACTGCCCTGCTGACAGGACATCTCTCAGATTAAGAAGCCAGAGCACGATGGTGTAGGAAGCAGTGAGTCACAATGATGTGTTGAGCTTCTTTCTTCACCAAGGAGAAAAATCCTTTCCTTGTTCTTTCCTACCAAAGAAGATGTTCCATTGTTCCCAGGTTTTCTTTCCAATCAATATCTTGCATGGCAAAGAAATTGTTTACTGTTTCAAGCGTGTCTGAAGCATTTCTGATTGTTGGAAAAGCTTTATTAAAAAAATTCTTCCTTTACAGTACCAGTGTGCACATACCACATAAAATTCAGTATATTCAAGGATATGTAAGCAATCTGAGAATCAATAACATCATTTGACAAAGAAACTTTCTAAATCTTCTTTTGCTGTTCTTTGCCACATATAGTACCAGCTTAACCAATTCCATGACACAAGGCTTGACTAAAGTCTTTCCTAATTGTGTGCAGTTATTTTTTGCAATCAAAAATGCAACTTTGGAAGATGCTTGAAGACATGATTTTTGTACTGGAGGAAATCCACATTCCAGCAAAGTTCCTGGTGTTACCATACATCTTTCCTGCAGAAACACCTCAGAATTGATACATCCCGAAGGTGAAAAGAAGAAATTTCAGCATTGATAGTTTCATGTTGAAACTGCAAAACAAATTTGCCACATAAGAAGCACTTAGGCCTCTGTATGCCATGATGATCTATGAAGAATTTGAAGGCAAAAGATATGTAGATTTGATTAAATTCCTCTTCTTCGACATCACAATTTATTTTAAACTTATTGGTGCGATAAAACATTTAAAGTTTTATTAAACACTTTATGGTTAAGTTCTATTTACCACATGTCCCTCTCAAAAGTGCAAACCATTAGCCATGAAGTTCCCACAATCTAATATGTGTAACAGAACCAACCAAAGATCATTTCACATTGAAATGTTATTTATCCACAGTCTATACAGGAGGAAATTGGTTGTAACAGGTTGCAGATTCCTATTATACAACACTTAAATATCACACATACTGTATCCTCCTTATATCATCTCTGCTGGAAACCATTAGAAATGCAAGACTCATCTTATTAGTTGGCCAAAAAGCTGGAATTAGTAAATCCTTTTTGTTGTGGCTTTTTCAAGACTAAATCATATATCAAAACAAAGCTCAAACTGAAAGCCAAATGAGTTCATTGCTAATGAAAAAATACATTGGGATGCTAGACAACTGTTTGACATGAACACTTCTTTATAACAGTCTCATTTGTTGTGGCAGCTCTTTCTGTGCTACAGAATCTATATTTCCAAGCTTTCGTAGTTAAAAAAGGAAATACATATTAAACGTAGACACCCACAAACCTGCAGTTAAATACCGTAGTCTTTTTATCCTGCTTCAGGGGAATTTTCAGCTCCTCCATGTCTGGGGCATTCAGACACAAATGTCCGCTGTCACAGGTAGCCGATATCAACACTAGCCGAGGTTCCTGCCGGCCTGTCACCTGGTGACCATCTTCTGTAATCACCAACCAATTCCTGCATTGAAGAAGTTGGGAGGAAAAAAAATGTTGATTCTAAAATTCTTCACATCCATCCATTTTCTAATCACTTTATCTAATTCAGAGTTGTGGGGCAGGAACCTACAGTATCTTGGCAAGCAATGGGTTCAAGGCAGGGTGCACCCATCACAGGACACAAACCACAGACAAAGACATTCACTCACATTAATACTGGGACCAATCATCCTAGAAGCCAATTAACCTACTAGTATGTCTTTGGACTGTGGGAGCAAACTGGAGCAGATGGAGAAAACCCACATGAACATGGGGAAAACAAACTTTCCTTTTCATGTGGGGAACAAACTCCACACAGACAGCACCCCAGGAGTTGAACCCAGGGCCCCAGCTCGGCAAAGCAGCAATGTTAACCATTTCAGGACTGTGCTGCCCCAAATTGTGAACATTTCCAAAGAAAAGCTCTTCATAAAAAATAACAGAGACAAAATTTCTCAAATTTCTTCCAAGTGGCTTCTTTACAGGTTTTTGCAACTCAGTCATTTTAAGAGTATTCACACTCTATTCCAAGGTATGCATGCGCTCTTTAATATTAGTGTTACAATAATTCTATAATTAAATAACTGCTTGAAATTATAAAAAAAAAATAATGTGCGATCTCACTATTGGCTTGTAGCATTGAAAATGCTAAAAATGTTTGATATAGAGCAAAACAGAAGCAGGTGTCTTACAATGTGAAGGTATACAGCTTGAAAAAAGGATACTTTACAAAATTATTCACAAATTTCACAACCACAATGTACAATTTTGCTAAATCCAAGGCTGAATTTTTTTAAAGTTGATGCCTAGAAAGCTCCAGAGGATCACATGTAACAGACTGTAAAAACAAGAATGTTCTACATAATATAAATTATGCAATTCAAAGGGACTCATAGTGTGGGTATGCTATCACTGCTTTACAATATTTTAGTTTCTAGAAAAAAAAACTATTGCCCTGTTATAATATAGAAACATTAGAAATCATTATCACATGCTGTACACCTACAGATGCATCCTTTCAGAAAGCACGGTAAAACCCCATACTGTGTAAAATTATCTGCAGATTAGCATGTTAGACCCCAGTATGTGATTGGCTGGCCAAAATGACAGGCGGCACTCATGGTGCATTGGTTGCTATTGAAATGATTGCTTCATTTATTCTCTTTACTGTGCATGCTTAAATCTGCTTAATATTGAATATCAATATGGAATTTTACAACTAAAGGGGAAATTTTGGTAGCTGAGCACAAAAAGTACAGGAGCAAATGTCTCTGAACATCATTAATGCTATTAATTTAGGAATATAAACATTATGTAAGCTGTATATGGCTGGTATTGGTAGTTTAAATTAAAAATACACAGCAGTGTTCCACTTTCTTCATAAACATTTTAAGCATTAAAGTCTTTCATTTGGTTACTTACTGTGGTTATTTTGGAAAAGTTTTTATGTGCTCCTTATGACTATATTAAGTTTATATACTTTATAAGAAGTTATAATGTTTTAACCTTTTCTATGAATACTTGTGCTCCTTATTGCGGTAAAAAAAGCATTCTTTTTAGAATTTGATTAATGGGGAATACAATATGGAATTGCGAATCTAAAGAAATTAATAAGGATATTTAAGGATTTATGTATTTTCATATAGGTCAAGTTATTACCGTAGTCCACTTTCTTTGTAAACAACTGCATCAATTTGACTCATTCACCCATGATTACTTGGAAACATTTTGCCTGCCCTTTTCAGTTATAGCTTAAACTTAATATCAAGGGACGCAGTAGTGTACTGGCTTTGGCGTGTGACTTGCGTGCTGGAGGTCGGCGGTCTGAACCCCACTCCAGGCCTGAGCTTTCTTTTAACAAATACACATTTCTTTCAAAAACTAAAATAGTAAATATTATGGAAACGATATTGAATATTTTGGTATTTCTGAAACTCCCTCTGTATTTTTTTGTTTTCACACAGCTAAGAATAAACTACATATGCAAATCTTTTGACAGGCGGGAAGATGTTCTGTGCTCTTACCACAGTATGCATCGTTACATTTTTAAGCATCAGTTGAAGCATTCCGAAGTCTGTCAAAATCGTAAAAAATGTTACCAACTGTTACCTTTCCTGGATAAAGCGGGTAGAAAATAGGTAGATTTACACTTGTAAAAAACGTTCCAATTTTAATCCGATACAGAAGATATTATTAATAATAAATGACCTTGGACGGTCTTTAAACTGAAGATTTATAGAGGAGACATGTTGTGTCTTTTCTTTCCAGCTTGGAATTCACTTTTACCCACTAGTATATTCCATTGCAGCCATTTTATGCAATGCAGCTCCGTACTTCTCACAAAGGCTAGTAGTGTTAACACCCCGCTATGTAATGTTATGTAGAATAGACAGGTCTGGGGGATGGGAGGGAATTTTCAGTAGTCTCTGTTGTCATTGTTGCTTTTTAACATAAGGCACTGTTAAAAAGTGCCTTATGTTAATTAAATGTCCTGTTTTTTCTTAATACTCGTTTTTCCATATTGTAGTTTTAAAACTTGAACAAAGACATCCCACAAACAGTGTGATGTTGTATAGTTTTAAAGCCACTATAGAATAGCTTGTGGGAAATACAGTTATTTGTACTGCATCAAAGCTTAACTCGTTCAGAGCGCCGGACATTACAAACTCTGGAGTCAAAAGGAACATGTCAAAATATTTCCAAAATAATCACAGATGAGTTGAGGGATTCGATAATAATAGAGAAATCATAACAATAACAATAACAGAATAACAGATGTTTCGTGCTAATCATGCAATCCAACTGAAAGAAGGACACTTAAATCAACAAGAAAAGACTTTATATATATATAAATCAGTTAAAAATACTTTTTATGCATGAAAAACAGGTGTTTTTTCTTCCGTGCGATCAGCTTAGAGTCTTTGCGTAAGCTGTCAATCATTAACTTCTTAATTAAACATTTTAAACACTTTAATTTTGTAAATACTACACACATTCCGTACGGAAATAAAATCATGTTTTCATCAGGTGTTGAGCAGATTAGCAGGTTGCTGACAACATAGCACACAGTCCACTAACCGTAAAGACCATTCTACATATTCTATTTTTTAAAAGCATTTAGGAACGTTTTCATCTATACAAATACCACAGACTATTCTCAATTATTTTTTCTGAATGTCACACTTAGTTCAATATTTTATTTACATCTAAATAAGAAAGTTAGGTGTTAGCATAAACTATTAGCAATCAATAATACTAAAAGTCGCAATGTAATGATTTGTTGCACTTCTTCCTTATCTTGTAAAAACATTAATTTACAAGCATTTGTTCAAACATATGTTGAATCTGACTATGACAAAATAAGTAAAATACAAACTCATAAAGTAAAAAAAGAGGGTAAAATATAATTTGAAATTAAGACAGGATACACTTTTTTCTGTGTCTCTTCCTACTCTCTCTCACCTGCCTTGATTTGGACACAAAATTATTAAAAATGAGAGGGAATGTTTCGTGCCAGTCAGTGCATTATCATCTCGCACCAGAGGGAAGGAAAAAAGCCAGTAGGGCTTGTCATTCATTTCAGTCTCCTTCACTCTGCCCAGCGATATAACTATTATATAAACAAGATCTAGTACCTGGTTAATTAAAAAGAAAAAACTTATTTTGAATTAATCAAATCCCTGGTGTGAGATCATAAAGCCAGAATTACGTACTATCCATAAGTAACACCTAACCATCTACTGTAAAGCGTTCAGTGCTTTGTTTGTGTATATTCCAATCGCAGCAGAGGCAGTGTGGGGAAACGTTTATGCTGTAATTGAATTGGGGCTCTGTATTCTTCACACCAGAAACCGTTTTCTTTGAAAGCGTTTTCTTCCCTCTTTAGCTGATCTTTTGCAGCCTACGCATGCTTACACAGCTCCCTACGTGAATTCTCGATTTCGACTTAGAAAGTTTTAGAGAACTTAACAACCATTTTTATTTTCAACAAATTGTAAATATGACGTTTACATAGGCAAATGTATTAATTTTCACTTAAGCCTATGGAGAAGTGTAAACTGTCAATGAGAGCTCCCTCCCAACTTCCCCCCATGGACAGACTGATAAAACAATTGGGAAGCGTTAAGTATCCAGCCACTGTAAAGGGTTCAGCTGCAAAAGCCACAAATAAATTTAAAAAAAAAAATTATCTCCTGATGGTAACTGTAACAAATTGTCATGTTTCACATCCTTGCGAAACAATCATGACATTCTCATCCAATCAAAGGTTTGATGTTTTTTTATTTTGAAACCGTGATCTTGACATGCAGGTGTGAAGTAGAGTTAACAGCTTCAGATTTAAAAGGTTATTAATAATATCTTCCATGTCACATTAACATTGGAATGTTCTTACAAGTGTAAAAGATGCGATACACAACGTGTCTCCTCTATAACTCTTCAGTTTACAGAGAAATTCCGCCAGAGCCTCACAACATTGTCCAATAATACTGTTCTTGTGTCTAATTTCCAGGGAGTAACCCTGTTACAAAAGTGAACAGTGTATCGTTCCTTGACTATGGTTAAACAGTATGTACGGTGGAGTTTCAGTGTTTGCTTTTCTGTAATCTGTACAGAACCATGACGTCTCTTCAATGTTTGGTACCCATAAACGGGGGCTTCGTAGACTTCCTACTTTGAACTCAACTACGCTCCAGTAAATAATGTACAGTTTATCGCCTTCTGCAATGCTTCGTTTAGCAGGATTTGCATGATAAGCACATTGTTTAATGGGGATGACATTACCCTCGTCTACTGTATATCACTGTCTGACACAGGTTTGAGTCGGAGTGTCTGTCAATAAAACAGAGCACCTTTCAAGACATAAAAGTACTGCATGATTTCTTTATCCATTTCAGCTAAATGAGGGAAATCAAATTGGTCAGAATTTCAGAGTGCCAAATGTAAAATAACCCTTCTTCCCTCCTTAGTTTAACTTAAAGAATTTCGTGAAGAAATCCTTAATCACAAAACCATCACTTAATTTATCCAGATACACAAATTCACGCCAGAGCCAACAACAAGATATAATAGCGGACTATTTTTATGTATTTACTAGATAAGAAACAAACCGAAAGTGATACTCTGATCGCGCTTTGAACCATTGGGTGCAGTGCTTTTTCCATTACCAATACAAGGACAATAAATGTTTTTTAAAAAGAAACGGATGTCAAAATGTTTCCAAAATGTCCACCTGTGATATTTTAGCTGCTTAGTTACACGATTCCATATTCATATAACTATCAAATGATGTTAAATCACTGCAACATTTATCTTTTTACAATAACAGTCCTTACTAAATATTCTTAGAAAAGGATAAAACGTTATAACTTTTATGAAGTACAGAATTTAAGCTTAATAATGTTAGACAAAGCACATTAAAACCAGAACCCACTGTAAATTACCAAGTTAAAGACTTTGATGCATAAAATATTTATGCATAATTAAATTATTTATGATGAAGGTGGAAGGTTGTGTACTTTTGTCCAACTGAGCAATCTTGCTTTTATAAAATATAATTACTTTTTAATGTTTAACATGCTGTAATACACAGTTTAAAATTATTAAAAGTCTAAACAGTATACAACTTAAATGGATGTCGTTCAGCAGTGACCGGGATTCGAAACTGGGCGTTTTCTGGCAACAGCTCAAATGCTGTACATGAGATGTTAAGATTTATTATCTCCACCTGGTGGTTTTACAAGGTACTATTATCCTATTTAAAAAAAACATGCAATATGTTGCGTTATGAAGCCGTATGTTGCGCAACGTCCACTGCGTTTTAACGCAGCGTACCTTGCTCATTTTGAATGGCTGGATCTGTACATGTGTACCATGTCTTCACACACAGTAATCTGTAATCTGACAACATACACATTGCCATTGAAGTTGTACCATTTATTCCGTAATCCCAGATAGCTGTTCTCACTGTCTCCACAAGCACAGGTTCCACCCATCTCTTTGGGATGGTCACACACCAAACTGTGGTCACCTTGTTGCAGACAATCAATGTTGATAATTTGTTAATTTTGCTGGCACAAGGTTCTGAAAACCTGAATTCCTGACACCCTAACCCATTCAGAAACATCTGAGATGCACCAGAATGAATCACTACAGAAACAAACATCAGACCGGATCAGTCATCCATACAATTTTTACGTCTGCCTTAATTGGACCGGCAAGCAGGTTAGAGTCTGGAGGAAAAAAGCAAACACTTCCAACATTTCCCGCTAAATCATTTTCAGAACAAGGCAGGTAATAGATATAAATAACAGGAAATAATCAGAATAATGTGAATGATCATCCTTCAGTATATCCAATACAACACTCTCTCTGCTGTTAAGAAACCAGGATGAAATCTTCCATAGCAAGATCTCATGTAGATGGGTATGCACCTAATTATCCACTCAGCAAATAACTTTATCCAAGATGATTGATATAAAATAAGGCAAACACCATCATTGACTTGTCTAAGGAGGCCATAACGAGAGAGATAGGTCAGGCTATGGGATACCTTGAATTGAAACCCAGTGTGGTACGGTGGCATGATGGCTGCCTCATAGCACTTGATTCCTGGCCTCAATTGCAGACTGTGGTGCCCACTGTAAAGTTCACATGGCTATGCTGGATTTTCACCACAGTGCAAAGACATGCCATCAAGGCCACCTTGTGTGTTGTACGCTCTCTGTGACTAATGGACTAATGTTCCATCCAATATGTATCCTGCATTTTGCCTGACCATACAATGCATTTTTCCTTCGTTAGGCACAGCCCTGTATGGATGGACAAATTTTACTATGAATCCCAGGTCTAAAAATTAAATTATAGATGCTGAAATGATATACAATCTCTGTCTGGTTTGCAGCCAACAGTGCTGTAGGACCGTCATAAAAGAGAAGAGGACAGGAATTGGACTCTAACAAGCTGACACTGTGGTTAGCATGCCTTCACTACAAACGCTTACTGTGCAATGCAATGAACTACAAACAGACCTCACCTCCTTTGCAATGCCTCCTATACACAAGCTGAATAATTGACCTGGTCTTTAGGGAAGAGCCTCCGACTGTATCACCTGCAACACTTGCTGGAAATATAAATTTGTCCGACTTGGTTCCACACCCAATTTTTCATTATTTATTAAATCAGTGATCTCACTTCCTGTGGCAGCTGTTGAACACATTATTGAATTTGGAATAACTTTAGAGATGCACACATCACACGTAATATGCGCATACTTATTAAACAAATCTGCCAGAATGGATTCCAAATGTTTAGTTTCAAATTTAATGTGTACAGTGCAGATATTGAATTTTTATTCAAATACGTTTGTGGTTTAAATAACACTGCTTCAGCTTTGAAGATTACAGTGGTGAGTTTTAAGAAACTAATTAATTAAACGATTGCTAAAGACAGCAGTTATGTTTGCATCCAATATGTGAATTTTAATATAAAACCAAATAATAATACATCACAAAGGAAATAAAACAGTTTCGTGCAAGTTTATCGAAAACAAGAAATGTTAAACAACCGTTTTGTCACGTATTCTATCCCAAACACCCTAGTTAATTAGAAAATCTTATAAATTGGCATATTTTAAATTACAGCTTTCACGCAGTAAACATATTACATACAGTAATTTTGGTTAATTTAATCAAGTCATTAAGTGTGAGCTTAGCAAGACTGTTCAATAATTGCAATATTATACTAAAGCGTCAATATCTCCCACTGGATCTCTACTTACCTATCTTTAAGTTCACCGTATTTCAGGCCCATTTCCAGGCACTCAGCTTTAACCGCACTAACCCCTTTGCAGGGCTTAATGGGATAGATCAAAAGATGAGACACAACGCCAACGCGAGTAAGTGTTTTCTGCCTTTTCTTTAAAACATATTTTAGAGCAAGTCCGAGACCTATTGCACCCAGTCCCACACCTGCAGTGTAAAGCAAAGCTTTTTTGTTTGAAGTTGAATTGACAATCAGGTCTACGATTCGATCCATTTTGTATTATACTTTAAACTTTAGCCTCCGTGTTATAAATCGGACTTTACTCATCAACAGAAACTACCAAACATTGCACTCAGGCAGACAGCTGGTAGACTTTTAATTTGAAGGCACTACAGATCAAATGTCATGTGTTGCAAAAAATTTCGTCGGTGTGGGAACGCGTGGACTCACCAAGTTCCTAACATTCAACAGAGAGCCTAGTTTTCATTCTATAGCTTAGGACCTTGCATTTTTAAGTGCACCCAATTAATTTCTGATATGAAAACTTATTTTTATAGTGGTTGAATCTACACCAACAAAATAATATTAATTATTTTATTGTTGATCATTTATGTCGTTTACTGTTTTTTGTTGTCAACGTCACGTTGAAGCGGTATGAAATTATAAAATCCATATAATTCAAATCGATGAGACGCCGTGGGACGATTAATCTTTTTTGTCTACAGTTTTTATTAAACGTATTTGGCAAACTAAAATACCTATGAATCCTGCATTTATATAAAATGCATTGTCTCGTGAAATGATACATGACTAATACTGTCAACTCCCGTGGGACCTTGTGCTACTTGATTACTTGTATTGGTTTTTAGTTCTGCTTTTTGTTCCGAGTTTTTATTAGTAGACACAGTAATTAATTTTAATATTTGCTTAAGGGTTATTTAAAAATTTGCTACAAAAGATAAATGGGATTTATCATTGGTATCAAATCTGCACTAATTAGTGAGTTTCAAAACGTTTTATTTAGGTGTTAAAGCTGAAATGTGACTCATTCGATTTAAGCAAAAATATATTGAGATATTTATATATAGTATAATATATATATGTATCTTTTAGATTTTCATTCCCAGGTGTGTCTGTTCATTACTAAGCGGTCACCTATTAAGAGTTTTCTACACTGTAATATTGGGGCAAATTCTTAATTAGGTAGTTGTGAAACATTGGGATCATCATCAGGATCATCAGGATAGTTCAGAAGCTGAGGTCAAAAACAAAAACCTGGTGATGAGAGTGGTGTTGTAGTCTGGAAGATTTTAAGAAACTTCTTTCTTTGCCATGATGATATTGCCAGTTCCTTGCTTTGTCTCGGTGAAAGGGCCCAGAATATCCACCATGACGAATTCCAGGGGGTTCCTACTTGATACTGCTGTAGTGGTGTGCGCAAGCAGTCCTGGGGCTACTTTAATTTTTTTTTTGTATTTGTGTCACAAATATGACATTACTGTGCCATATCACAATGCCCCTGAAAAATGTGCCTTAAGTTATAAGGACCTCATAGTTCTTCACTGTAAACTATTTTTTAAGCAACCTAGAATCTATACATCTGAAACAACATTTTTTCACAAATGTGCAACTTGTGTGTGGTGTTGCCAATGTTGGTTGGCTTGGAGGAGATTTTTTTAATGGGATACTTTTCACCAAGTTAACGCTGAGTGGAAAAACAACAGTCACTGCAATGCCTTTGGTACTGATTCAACTCAAGAAGGATCCTAGAGCCTTTTCCTTTCAAAGAGATGATCATCTGGCAGGCTTTTTCAGCATCTTTCTAATTACCCACATTTTGCTGTATAAGCCTCTCAGTGCGAGACTCCATTGAAAAGAACTGGAAAACTTTCCAGTTTTGCAGTTGGCAGGTCCCTTTTATTTGACTATAGATCCTTACAGAAAAGATTGATGTAACCTGTGTTTTATAGAAGCTCAACACATACAGTAACATTACATTATATTTTGCAGCTTCACCTTTTCCAGTGCTACCTTTTTTTTCTTCTGCTTTCTAGACTTCTGCTATGTGTGAGGTACCTGTAAGTGAAAGGGTTTCTGTCTCTATTGTTTGCAGCTCTGATACTAATGTGGCACTTGGTAAATACTAATGAGGTCTTTAACGATAAAAACAGTCTCATTAGGGAGAATAGGCCTTAGCTCTACAGCCTCTAGACTGACAGTTCTTTATATGAAGAGAAATTATCTCCACTAGAGGGTGGCTTAGGGACATTCTATAGAGAGGATAAGGAAAGGCATTCACAGTAGGTTGCGAGAGAGGAATAAAATGCAGCTGCTTTTTATTTGGTTTCTCTATAAGTATTTAGAGATACAAGATAAGCAGTCTAGTCTTGTTATAAGGTCAAAGCTTTTGGTTGGAGATCAGTCTCGTGGTGAGACTTATCTTTTGGTTAATTTAGTTCTAGAGACAGCAGCAAAGTAAGTCATTGCCCGTCAACTAAGGATGTTTCCCATCATTTAGGAAAGAGGTTAAAAAGTGACCCCAGGGAACCAGTACCCTATTGAGAAAAAATAGGTCACCGGTCACCGGTAGACAGAACAAGATCAGCTAATGGTTCAGGCTCAAGGACATCTGTTAAGAATAAGGGGGAAATGAAGAGGTCAGTATTTTACATACTGTAATTGGGAGAGGGTCAGATTTATTACATCTGGTCCAGTCTCAAGCTCTGCCTTTGAGATTTCCCAAAGTTTGGGTGGTTCATTTGTATAGGTACTCATGCTGTGCTACCTGTAAGGGAGCCCCTAGAAATATACGAATGTGATAGAATATTCAATCAGAACTAATCTTCCTATCAACATTCATGTTAACATCTGAAACTACTGTATGCTGTTTTCAACAACATTATAGCATAAATTCAAACATTTAAGATACTATCCCTTCTAAAATGACTAGCACAAATCATCAGTAGAGGTTTTCTTGTTATCTTGTTTTTTTATTATGACACTTAAAAACTATATAATGTAAGAAAATTATATGAATTGGTTTCACTCTATTGGCTTACTCTGTTACCCTCCCCACAGATAGCTGTACTGGTGTATTGGTGCATTTTGGCTACCGTCTCATCAACCAGGCGGGTGTTACACATTTGTGGTGGTGAAGGGTGAAGACTTCCCATTACCTGTAAAGTGCTTTGAGTGGAGTGTCCAGAAACGCTTTATGCAGATGTAAGGATTAAATATTATAAGGAAAGGCAGCACTGTTGAAAGTGTTCCAACTGTTGTACAACGGAAATTGTTCCAACTATTGTAAGTGATTATTGAAGTGTCTTTCAGTTCTCAGGAGCTTCAAAGCAAGGAGATGTTCGCTTGAGATGTAGGAGTAAGAGATTCAATGATCAAAGCAATCATAAAGTATACCTTGATTTACCTCAGTTAAGTTCGGGGTAAGTATACCTTGATTTACCTCAGTTAATTTTGGGGTAATTGATTACATGGCAATTAACCATCCAGGAAGACAGCATAAACCAGGTAGATAACAAAAAAGACGAGAAAGAGACATGGGAAGACACACAAAACCAGAATGTGAGAGGTTCTTGTCTTGATCATCCAGATAGACCAGATTGGAGCTACGTATTTGAACCTTGTTAAGAGAGCTTGCTGTTCTACAGTTCTTAGGGAACTCAAAATACATGTGTAAAGAATCCCTCAGTAAAAAATGTCCTATCCTGGTTATTGGATGCATTTTTGGAATAAGGACATACTGTAGGTTTGCATTCATTTTGTAGCTTATTAAGCCAAAAACATTTAGGCATAAAAAGGCAATACACAAAAGAAAAAGCCAGATTTTGTATTACAATGAAAAGCAAAGAGTCAAACATTTCATTGAAATTATATTTTACAGCCTGTTACAAAACATCTTTATTTTTGCATGTATATTTAAAATGTTACAGAAAGTAAACAGGCTATTAAGTATTTTCTTCCATATTTACCACAATGTTTTGAGAAGGTAAATCAAACAATTTTCTCTCTTCTCTCTCTCAAACACTTATGGCTACATTTGGCATTGAACACAATTCCAAAAGCAGAGCCATAGAAAACTGTTTAGGACTTTAGTTGCGAAAACATTAGCTCCATCCACAACAGGGGCATCTAACCACATAAAGGTGTAATCTTGGTTTAATATTTAGGTGGGAGGTATCAAGTTTAAGTGGCGATAAGGTGCCACGATAAGGTGGTATTGAACCATTAAAAACAAAGTCATAAGCAAAATAACCCATACAATATAAAATAAAATATGGGAATTTGTGAAGGAACATAATGCATGCAAGTAAGTGTCAAGCTGGAGAAGAACTTGGATGAAGGTTGTGTTTGCTATCAGGAGTTAGCAGCAAGTGACAAGATAAATAATGGTTACAAATGAGAGGAGGCTTTTGGGCCCACCTACTGTAGCTACAAAACTGAGGACAGATACCAGTTGAGAGAGAAGACTAGTACAAGACTTTATTAATGGATACTCGGTACTGGAAGAGTTTTTAGTATAACTCCAAATAACTCCAAAATTAGGCTTTTGTTCCCTGTTAAGTTCGGTCTGTGTGTCTTCGCTGTAAAGGAATACAACCCTTCCAGGGTTTAAAAAGCCTCCATTGTATCAGAACACGTTTTTCATTCTACAGGATGAACAGACAATACTAGATTTGAGTGCAAACACGGACAGTTATAAATTGCAAACTAGCAACAGAACTGAGAGCAAACTCATTTAAAACTTGTGTTCTTTCCTTAATATAACTGTTACAGAAATGCTGAAACTGCCTGTTTTTCACAAATCCTGAAAAGTTTTTTTCAGACTGTAGATCTGTTTGGAATTGCACTTGTATCTATGCACGTCAAAATATTAAACTATTAATTGAAAATATTTGTTTTAATTTTAAACAACCTACAAGGACATTAGAATCATGTGGAAACCAGTACACATTGGTCTATTGCAGTGTACTGTTTTTTATTGAAAGTTAAATTAAGTATGAGCTAAGCAGTGGTGGTAAACATTTTATGTAGATGGCCTACACTTTCTGGAAAGGGAACTTGTCACAGAGAAAGAAGAAATACAAGCAGCGTTCTTTGAACAGTTTGGTATAGCTTGAGAATGTAATTTTAGATTTTTTTTGTTTTACTAATATGGCTACTGTACATGTCAAATGCTCCATTGAACATAGCTTCAGAAAACAAATCTGTTGGCTGACTGCCAAGAAATGAAAGATTAATCTTTGGAAAAGACTAAAAATCAGATATTTTAAGTACAGTAGGTTCCTCCAACTCAAATACATTATTTTTAATGCCTTTAATAGATTATGCTGTGTTGTGTACCATGACAATCAACTTCAATATATTTTAATTGTTTTAGTGCGAAAGTTATTGAGAATTATGACTAATATTTAAAGCAGAAAAAAAAAACACAAAGTGGGATCACTTTTTTAGAGCACATAAAAAAAAAGATACGAAGCAATCACTTGTCTGAATAACACTAGTGTTGTAACACAATTTGAACCTTAAAGGCTTGTTCATCAATATGTACGGATGAACTACTGTTTAGGATAGAGTTTCTTCTGTAATCCAGTTTGAAACTGTTATATAACATGACCTACACCAGCAGACCACACAGGTTTTCTCTTTTCCAGTATATTCTAAAAATAAACGTAAAATGATGTGAAAAACAGAAATTCTAAATGTGTCACTACTGTGCCACATTCAAAACATAATTAGATATGGTTTTCTGTTTTCCAGTATATTCTGACAAATGAAGTACCACCACCACATTCCAAAAAAAAAAGAATTTGAAAGAAATGAAAAGGTTAATGGCCCTCATTGACTGATAATATGCTTTCAGAATAGAGCCTCTCAGTTTCAGCGCTTCTCTCCTGAAAACGGGCGCACCAGGGGATTCTGGCCATGAGGGGCTTGTGGAGTCCATTATACAGAGCTGCCCCTGTGAGGAGGATAATAAATCCCAGGACCTGAAGCCCATGGAAGTGCTCCCAGCCCACAGCCAGACTCACAACCCAGATAACAATAGTCCGCAGGCTGTCAAGTACCATGCGAGTGGTAGCGCTAATTTCCTTGGTGACGCTGATCCCTGCAAAGTTGAAGAAGGCAATACTAACAATGTTCCCAATGATGGCCAGGACAATTAGTGGCTGGTTGCCCATCTGGCAAAATGCATCCAGTGCATCTTCCAGGACCTGCCTGGGGTTGTCGCCGAAGTTGCCCACAGGGATGAAGTACATGGGGATCAGCAAGAGAGAAAGGACAACAAACCCAAAGAAACCTGAGAAGTAAGGAGAGGGACTTCAGTGTATCTGGTTGTCTAACTAGTTGTAATATGCTGAATAACACAGCATCATATCAATCAGTACCTTCCCCACAGACAGCTACTTTTCTCTTGTGAATTGATAGAACACAGAGTTTGCTTCATTTTTTTTTGCTTTATTCCTTCATCCTGTTTCTTTTATTCCTGTATATTTTCTTTATCTGGCAGCTCCCTGAATCTGAGAGAATCCTTCACAAGGATAACTGTCCCTTTTTCCCTTAACATGGATGATGTCAGAGGGTTTTAGGACTTCATTATTTTATTATACATGTCTGTACTCTGAAATTAATATAAAATGTCTAGCACAAATCCTTTAAATTGTAATGTACTTTACTTGAACTCTAAAACTTTACTTACATTGCATTATGTGCACTTTTTGTACATCACAATAAGAAATTGCCTCAGATGGGTAATGTATATTTCTGTCAGTAATACATTTTTAGACCATTCTTGAGTGTAAAAGTGCTTAAGGATCTTTTGTGATAAAACATTTAATAAAAACACAAGATTTGTATTGATCCGAATGACTTTTGAACTAATTCAAATAAATCAATGGTTTCCTACTATGTTTTATAAAAGCTTCTGATTATTTACTGATAATAAGTGCATATCTAGCTATCTGGCAGGGGTTTAATTCCTGGTAAGATTGAACAGTGTGAAGAACTCTGGAATATATACCTTTTAAGTGAATTCTAAAACAACCATAAAAAGCTTTTGCATTTGACAAAAATCATTGGTGCTTCCATGCTTTCATTCAAGCACTATACACTTTCTTTCCACTAACTCGACTAGCGAAAGGGAGCAGTACCTTCTGTGCCAACAGCCCGGAGTGGGTGGACGTCGTGCTTGTAAACAAACTTCTCCTCCAGTACCATCTGCACAGAGACTATGATCTGCGCCATGATAATAAGGAGGTCACCTGCAGACCAGAATTAAAGATCAAAAACATGACAAAAGCTAGAACCTAGCAAGGAAAACAACTCTGGGAGACAGAATCTGTCCTTAGAGGACTTTACCAAAAAACTTTACCAAAACCAACTCTGAATTGGTCTTGAACTGGGACTAATCACACGCACAGTGTGATTTTATGTTGGTGGATGCTGATTTAAAGTTTATGATTTAAAATGTATGTTTTAAGAATTAAGTAAGCAAACTTTCTGGGGCACTATTTCATGGGAAGACAGAACTTTTGAGCAGTGTCCTTGTACCTGTAATGACTTCACTGAGCTTGTGACTTTCATCCTTTTCTCCACTGACAAAGTCCGCCAGACCCACCACAACCAGGCCCGCGATGGTGACAACGATGCCGATCCACTGGCTGGCCAATAGCTTGCGGCCCAGGAACGCTACTGACAGCAGCCCGGTGAAGATGATCACTGCTCCTCGCAGCATCTGGAAGCTGGAGGCACTGGTCATGTTGAGCGCTAGGAATATAAACGTTGCATGATAAGACCAACGATGGGAACAAACACATCACACTAGAAGAATTATAACAACCACTAATGCCACCATATCAGATATACAGTATCTGAATGATAACATGATGCATTAATGATAACATGATGCATTAAAAATACAGAAGAAAACACAGAATAAATTATTGTATGACATGGGAGTGACAAATTAGTGCAGTGGTTAGCTTTTTGCTATCTCGCAGAGCTGAGCAGAGCAGAATTTACTGTCATATGCACAAGTGCAATGAAATGCTTATTTGCATGTATGCTCCTATACAAAGACATCAAGGAAACAAAAACAAAAACATAGAACAGTGGCAGCAACAATAACAACTTAAGTAACATCTTAGAAAAAAAAAACATCATTGTGAGCCAGTGGTAGGGGTAGAGTTCAGTAATCTGACAGCTTGAGGGAAGAAGCTGTCTCTGAGTCTAGACGTTCATGCTTTTATGCTCCAATAATGCTTACCAGAGGGAAGGGGGGAGAAAAGTGAGGAACCAGGATGACTGGTGTCCTTAACGATACGCTGAAGACCTGGGTTTAATTACCGGGCTGCTATCAGTGTGGAGTTTTTAAGTTCTCCCTGTGTTTGCATGGGTTTCTTCTGAATACTTTTCTCCAGTTTTCTCACATAGTCCAAGGACATACTTCTAGGTTAATTGGCTCCTGGGATAACTGGCCCTGGAGGGAGTGTGTACGTACTTGTGCCCTGAGATGAACTAGTGTCCTATTCAGGTTGTGCTCTGCCTTGCGCCTGTTGCTCCGGGTCTAAGGTAACCCCGTATTGGACTTAGTGGTTACAGTACGGATGGATAGAATACATGGCAGACTGCAGTCTAAAGAAAACAGCCAAAGGTGAGTGCAGTGACAGTGAGCAGCCAGTAGAGGCCATAGTTGAGAGAGTAAAGCACCAAGAAATGAGCGAGTTTAGACACAGGTGGTAGGCATGAGGAAGTTGAAATGAGGGAGGTTATCAGGCTCATGCTAACTAGTCACCACTGGATGGAAAAAAAGGAATGTGTAAGATTTTTATAAACAAAGCCACGTAGGTCTAGTAGACACTCCTGTGTCTTCACAATAATAATTAAAAATCATGTAATTTCTATAGAACTTTTAATCTCAATAAAATCCCAGAGTGTGTGACCTCCTTATAAAATTGCATTTGAAATTCAATTTCAATTTCAGTTGTTCAGCCTAAATCCCAGAAGTGGAACAGAAATATGATTTATACAAGCATCTCAGCTGACTAAAGGAACCACAATTTGGCTGTAGGGGTGTGGCTGTTGGAACCCTGTGTTGAGCATGCTTTAGGAAGATGCAGATTAAACACTTACCAACATACATGATGGAGGTGGCTGTCATGTCACACATTGCAGGCGGGAAAAAAAGGAGGGGGTTAAAGGACTGGTTAGCATTCATCCTTGGTTCGGGGCTCCGTCTGTCGTGACAGACAAGGATGTAGAACAGCGCTAGGCAACTGAGCTCACCCAGAAACATGCCAACAGCCTGTAGGAAACAAGACAAATTTGTACGAATGCTGGACTGAAAAAGATCTTTAACAACACTAAGCCTGTCTACATTCTGGAAATCATTTGGTATAAGGTAGTTTACCCACTTTTCCTAAAATACATGGGTCAGATCTACAGTACATGAAGGCAAAATCTTTTCTCTAAGGGGTCTGCTCTTTTAGAAAGAATGATTGATTTACAAAAGCAAATTGCTGGACTGTAATTATGAGAATGAATAATTATATGTATTGTAATTATCAATACATGAGTATTAATCATGAGAATCTCATATACTTACATTTAGAAGATATAATGAATAAACATTTTATCTTGACACTGCAAGTTTTAATAATTAATGACTGTGGGGTCCTGAAATTGACCCTGAATTGGATGATGGAGTTTGAAAATGGATGGATGGGTGGATAACTGCACAAATGCTGTATATCGTTAGGTTGGAAGAATCAATACCCAAGTCAATATTTCACCTTTAGGCAATCTGTGTGCAAACTGTCTCGTCAATAACAAAATAAACAGTAGGTCAATTATTCTCAAGAGGGCTTGAAAGGTCAACGACCCCTCAGATTTTTAAATGACTCTGAAAGCTCTGAATGTAATCTGCAGCGGCTGCAGTGTCTTCGAGTCTAATATATGGACATGCACTTCCAATCAATCTCTAGTTCAGTAGTAAAGATGCTGAAGTCATTTTTCCAATCTAAGCAAAGGTACCTGCAGGAAGGGATGTGAGAACGTGTGCTTTGGGGATCCACCACATCCCTGAGCTGAGAAGGTGTCTGCCCATCTAGGTAAAACAGAGACAAGCATTAGGTGTTACAAATGAGGTCTGGAAAGACTAGAAATCAAAAGTGTAGAATAAAAGGCAAAATTTAAAATGACAATGTTTCTTAAACCTGCTACAATTTAACCCGAGGCTACAGCATGAACTGTTCATGGCTTTGGAATGTGGAATATGGCTTAGGGGAAAATGATGGGGACAAATATCCAGTTAGTGGGTATATGTTTTTCAAGACGCCAGTTAGAATGGAAGGAGTGGTCGTGTGGGGACTATAGATATATCTCAAAATTAACCTTCAAGCTAGAGAGCTGATGCAAAGAGGGCTGATTAAAATTTTCATGGGTTAAACCACAAAAGCAATTAGAAATTCTAGGGTTTTAATACTTGTTTTATGCAACAGATGACCTAATAAAAACACAAATTTCTTACTATATGATGAGATCAGGCAGTTAGGCAGCAAAGGTTATATTATATTACAAGGAGATTGTGACTTTCCACAGATAAACCAGGACACTATCATGGAGAATAAAGAAACTGAAAATGACATGATTAAAATGGTTAGACATTGTTTCTAAACTCACTTTATAACGGCTCAAACAATGGCAGATTCTCTTATTGATTAAATCTTTTCAAACAGGATACAATTAAAGGAACAATTAAAAGAAGAAGTATATTGTAATCATAATATATCTTGTGATAAGTGTGTGATGACCTTAAACCTTGCGTGTAAAATGATGGCTTGGATTTTTATCAAAACAGACAAAGACGAAATGAGGCAGAACATACAGTTACCAAAGCGAACTGTAAACTGATGGACACAAGATGAGTCACACTTAAAAATAAATAATGTTAAATTAAGATTTCAACTATTAAGTAAAATGGGCACAGTAGCCACAAACACAGAATTGCATATGGGGACAAAACTTGAACCAAGAAACTATAAATCAATCAGTCTTATTTCTGTTACTGGAAAATTACAGAAATTTCTGTGTGTTACAGAAAGTATCTGGAAAACTAAATTAGAATCATTTATACAATGGCATTTTAAAGCCAGCCAACATGTATTTAGAAAGGGAATTACATTTTTTTCTAGCAAAGCTTTCTGTGAAATCTTAAGCGACATAAGTTCTAACTGGGTAGATGTAAGTAGTGGTTTTCTGCAAAGATCTTTATTAAGCCCTTTACTTTTTCGTAATCAATATCAATTATATAGATTCTCGTATAAACTAAAATAGTTAAATTTATAGATGATACCATTACAAATAGGGGGCTACGGAAACAGAGAAAATCAGAAATGACAGAGTGGGTTAATCAATAAGTAAATTAAATAGTCATAATCCCCAATTTGGAAATGATTTTGCCTAGAATACACCTTGGTGTTTGGTATAATCGGAGGCACCTAAGTTCTTTGTTCTCTGGCACAGCTTTGGTGGAAAAAAAATCGGGCACACTGTATTAAACATATTTCTTACCAATGACAATACACACCCTAAACTATACACAGCATAAACAACATACAACATACCGGTTACGCTATTTATACATTTACACGCATAGTGTCGAAGAAGCCTATGTCCCAAAATCCCAAACTGCTACCAAGCATTCAAACTCTTATATAGTGTCTACAATGCCAAAATAAGAGAATGCTGCCTACCAAGCTAAACAAAATTTGACCTACAATTAAATCTCTCTCTCTGCAAACCCAGATGCTACAAAATAAAATGGACCCAGAAGAGGTCATTTTTAACCGCTGGATTTTTTTACACAGCAAATCAAAGTTCCCTAACAACAATAGAATGACAAGCTCTCTACTGCCCTATGGGAAGAGAAGACAAAGTACCGAGGTAAAAACACCTGAGTGATTGAAGTTCATCCCAAGGATAGGGTCAAGATATCAAACAAACACTTCTGGATCCATTAATTGATCTTCCAGTCATTAAGAAACAAAGAACACAAATCATTCAGTACAAAAATATCATCTGTAAACTGGTAAATGCACTTTAGTTTTTCATATTGGTTACAATTATTTATTTGTGCATTATAGTAAATACAATAAAGTAACAAAATGATGATGCACCTCATATTAAATCTGCAGTTATTACTAGATATGTATAATAATAAGAAATACATTTAATATAAAAATCTCATTTTAAATAAAACTATTTTGATCAATATCACTGTTTATTCTTATATATACACATGTAGATATATATCCATATGTGTATATACTGTATATGTAACAAATATGCATCTATAAATAAAAGGTAGGTCATTATAGCTTATCTTAAGGAAAAGATTCTTAAAGAATACATATAAGAACTGTAAAAGAAAGCACTACTGAAACTTGATGCTAGCTTTTTGAAACCTCTGCAGCTTTCTGTTGTACTTTGGCCTGTCATTTTGTGACTTGATACTCAGAGATCTGGCAGACCACAGACACTCTCTTGAAGGTAAAATTAAACAAGATATTACTCTAACTTTTGTTTTATGTAACATATGTAAGTACTTATGTAAGTTAAGAAGTACATATGATACAGATGTTAAGACTATCAAACATTCTCTCTCAGGTTGTAGGTTTACATGGAGATCAAAATATCATCTTCAGGTAAATTAAGATAAGCACACAGAAAATAAGTTATACTTGCAAAACACCATCAGGTGAACTACTCATAAAATATGTAAATTGCCAATGGCTTCTGCAAAGCATATTAACATGTATTCCAGAGGCGTTTTCTTTAACTATGAAATCTATTATCAAAGTTTTGCCACTATTGTAAATGTAATTTAAATGTATATATGAACAGAATTAAGTAAAGGAGAACAGAAAAATCCCTTGCTTGCTGAACAGACAAGTGAAACTTCTCAAGTTACCTTGGAGATGACTAGCAGAATTAAATTTTGCTGAACTTTTTTTTCTTAAAAATCTTGTGAGAATGAATCAATGGGGTTCAGCAGACTAAAATCGCTGATATAGCACGCACAGAATGGTCAGTGTGGGCTCATAAACACAGATTTAAGACGGATTACGTAACACAGATGTACAGAGTATAACAGCACGAACGGAACGCAAAATTAATCAAAGTTCTATGCCTTTACTTATTCAGAAAATAAATAATCTGGATAACACTAATGAAATAACAAAAATTGGCGACATGTCCTGAAGAGATCAAGGTTTCAAGTTTGCAATGGTTATTAACTACGTTCCTTTACAAATATGTAAAATATACAATTGTAGCTAACTGCTTACTAGATATCTGGTTTTCTTAATCAGTCACCTCCACACATTCATGCCATAATTATTAAAGGTTCTAGTCAATTACTTCACAGTTTAAAAAGTAATCAATAAGTCAGACACTGCACTTACTCGTAAGCTGGTGTTTTGCTTTCTTATTGAGACAATAAAAATACGAACAGCAATTAACATAACGTACTGTAGTGTAAATATGCAACCGTTACAAAACAGTAAAATCAGGAAAGGTAAGTAATCTGATTTCAGTTTTCCTAAACGTGTCTTGACACTATCAGTCGTAAAACAAGCCCTAATCACTTACTTTGCAGATAATGTGTTGATTGAGCCGGTGATAAGCATCATTGCGGCTAGTAAGAGCTGGTATTTCGTCCAGGCCATGCTGGAAGGGAGAGTATTTCGAGACGAATGCAGAAATACGGCCGGTTTTGGTTCTGTTCAGTTCAGCTCAGCTCAGATCCGCTTCTGTAGGCAGTTGATTTCAACTGCTTTTAGGACCTGCAGTTTCTTCATTTCTTCCTGTGATATCACATGACTATCCTATATTGTCAGCTGACTGCACACACGAGAGTTCATATATCTTGCAGGAAATAGATAAGGCTGAATGTCTGGTTTGTGAGACTCATCTGCAGTGAAATGCGAGTCTTATTCAAAAAGTTGTACAGTCAGTAATATGTTTGTCAGATATTTGTCATGCGAAATGTTATATGAATTTAGATGTAATGATTATTTGCAGTTTACTATAATAAGCTGTCTAGTATTAGCTAGGAAAATACGTTAACCAATTTTAATGAATGCAATAACTGAAGTGGCAATGATTTCTACGGAGCGTGTCAGATGTCCCTAGTTACAAGTCACGTGTCAACTAAAATTACATGTTATTTTTCGTGACGATTTATCCATTATTTGTAACCTCCTTTTCGTGAATTTGCTTCTCCACGATTCCATTAATCGAGCGTTGGCAAACGAAAATTTTGTTTTTCCAGAAAATTAAATCGGAATTAAGTAAAACAAATACTGTATGTAAATGAAGGCGTAACGTCTGCCAAAACTTTTATTTTGCAAACATTCAGCGATAAGTATCAGGGCTTAAGGGAAACCATAAAACAGCGAGAAGAAAAGCAACAGGCATTTAGGAAAATATGTGCAGTACTTCTTCAAAAAGCCATCTTTGCATTTTATGTAAAAACACTGTTATCCTTCCTGGGGAAGAAAGAGATCAGTGCTGTTCAGTCCATCCCTCATCCTGCAAGAGGGTTTTGAGAAGTGGGTCTAAAAAGAATCTCCTACAGGAATTGAAGGGATAGCCTTGTGCTCACTGAAGTAAGATCTGAGGTCCTGTCTGTCCGTTTTCATGTTTTGCTAAAGACACTGACACAAAGAGGCAGAAAGCTCTGGATTATATATATATATTCCTGAATATTCAAAGTCCCTTTGAGGCCAGTTAATGTTTTGATGGTGTTGTGAATGAGACTACTAAAAGCTGTAATTCAGGGCACAGGGGAACATGTAATTTGGTGCATTTGTATTTTATGAAAATCTGTAGTTTTACATAAAATGCAAAGATGGCCCATATATACTGTACAAGTACTGCACATATTTTGCAATATGAGTATTGTTTTTATTCTTGTGCTTTAATGACTTCCCCTGAGCTGAATGTTTGAAAAATAGGTTTTGACCAATGTTGATCATCCATTTACTTACAGCATGTGTTTTTTTTTACTTGATTCCTATGCATCTCAAACAGTTTTGGGATACATCTAACAGATTCCCTTTCTTTATGGTTCTGTTATATACTCCTCTGCTCCTACTGTATTCAGTACCCATATCTACTGTCACCTCTCATTGTGTATTCAAATTGTGCATATCACATGTATATTTTTATTGTTGTTGTTCTGTAAAGTGCTTTGAAAAGTTTATTATTACTTCCTTCAGATTTAGCCTTGATCATTAATAGAATGAATATTCTTATTGAAACATCACAGGTGTTTTGAAAAGAAGCTGCAACATACTTCTGGTAACTAAAATAATGAAACCTTCTTATATTTTAAACGTTCTTATATTTTAAATGAAGAGTGGCATTGTGGTGTACCATCCAGGCTGTATCCCACACTGCACCCATTGCTTTTCAGGATAAAGTGGTTACCCCTTTTGCGTTATGCAGAATAGGACAGCTCTTACTATTACCCTTACTGAGGAAGAGATCGGTGCTGTTCAGCTTATCCTTAAGCCTGGAGAATGGGTTCTGAAAAGTGAGTCTATAAAGAATCTCCTTCAGGAATTATTCAAAGTTAGCCTCAAGCTTACTTAAATAAGATCTGAAATGCTGTCCGTCAGTTTTCATGTTTTCAGTGTGGTCGCATTTTCCTAAAGACATTGACATAAAGGATGAATATAAAAATATTGAAGTTCCTTTGAGGCCAAGTAAAGGGGAACTGCAGTTCCATTTTTTCATACCGGTTATTAAATAATTTTACCATGCTTGACGACACCACAAATTTGTACAAAGTTTTAAATGAAGGAAACACAATAGTGTGAAGGTACTGTATAGTCGTCATATTGTCTCAAACCTCTGGTCTCACGAAGGGCGAGAGTGAGAATTGGTGAGGTGGCTCTTTCTGCTCGCTCGTCACTGCAATGACTAATGTGACGTGCAAGCGAATAAGTACAGGTTGTGCAGCAGAGATTTCGCAGCAGAAATATTTCAACGTGATCTGCTCGCAGAGTTAACACTTAAAATGTATTTGTCGGCAAAACCTTCAGTTGAGAGCAATATTTCTGTTGGATTAAAAGAGATGTATTCACAAGCCTGCTTCACCTCACTGGAAGTTTGGTTGCCTTGTTCTGAATCACAGAATATGGCACTGGGCATACCTGGAAATTTGTGATGTGTAATTTTCTAACTCCAAAATATAAAAATAGTGTTGCAGTTCCCCTTTAATGTTGTGATCCTTTTGTTTATGACTACAAAGAGCTGCAATTGGGGGAACAGGGGCACATGAAGATGCTGGTGCTTAACAGGAATGTTGTGATTAATGTATTTCTCATTTTAGAAAAAAGTTCTGTACAGCATTTATCATAAAAACAATTTTGTTTTACTTTGAAAACTATTATATATAACTGCAGCAGAAGTGTGGAAGAAGGGCAACATCCTTAAGATATAAGAAGATTCAGGATGTATTATGTCAAGTAGAATAAATAGGTTTAATGGCTTCTTACTTCACAAGGCACCTGTGATGTTTCACTAACAATATACAGTACATTTATGTTTAAGGCTGTATAATGTCCTGCCCGTGTGAAAGAAAAATGAGTATAAAGTTCATAGATCATGTGAAAAGGAGGAGCAGAATTAATCTATACTCTGCATGCAGCAAGAAAGAGCCTTTAAAATTCTCTTTTCCTAGTCACCTGTGGTAACCATTTGTGGTTTCGTTTTTGTATGTTGTATGAGAAACAATAAACAACATTTTTGACATATCTGATTAATTATCCTTTGTTTTGCTTGTGAATTTGTTTGCGGGCGGAAGCAGGGCTTAGCAAAGTATGGTAAAGGAGCACCTGGACCGTGCTGGGAATGTGAGGGGTGACAGAGCCCCTTGACTCACTGAGAGTCACTTGGTGAGGTGCTGGCTCAGAGCTGGGGGTAGAAAAAGAAAAAGTGAAAGAGCACCCTGACCCAATGAGTCAGTTTGAGAGGCGCTGCCTCAGGGGTGGAAAGTGAAGAGAAAGAATTTCCTTGACTTGCTGAGAATTGCTTGAGAAGAAAGCGAAAAGTCCCCTGGTTTGTTGAATGAGGCACTGCCTAGGCCCTCAGGGGATTGAGGAGAGAAAAATGAGCAGGTTAGAGCTGCTGAGAACAGTGAGACCAGGGGATCCCTCTGACTCATACTGTAAAAATCTCCCCAGGGTCAGGGTGGCGCTGTAAAAACAGTGGCATCAAAGGCAAGGCTTTACTTTTAGTCTCTACAAGCAGAAATTAATGTATTTGTTTTTTTAATGTAATACTTATTGGTAGATGTTTGTATTCCTGTTTTAAATTGCTCTTTAGTTCTATTTTAATGTTACTGTGCAAAGCACCTTTATTTCCATAGACAGCTACTGTAAGTAAATGAAAGCTGAGCTACATGAGGTTCGCTCTAAACTAAATTATGTTTTGAAGAGCACCAGAGAAGTTTCTAGAACTTAGCACTGTGTAATTCATGTATTTTTACTAATGCATAAGTAGAATATCATATGGGGCATGTGATTTTTAATCTGGAAACTACAGTATGTTCTCAGATGGGATAACTGCTCCTGATGGTGTGAAATACTGCATCCTAGAAAACAGAAAATATATTTTTTTATATAAAACAAATCTTATCCTTATGCCTCCAATGCCTCCTTCAGGGTAATGTGACTTGACACCAGAATAAAACCTCTTTAGTGAAAACTTCTCTTAAGGAGTTAAATTCTGAACCTGGGGTGCTGGTTGCTAGCTAGCTGCATTTGCATGAGTCTTGTAAGGTGCTCTGGTTCCTTCCCACAGTCCAAAGACAATCTGGTAAGTTAACTGGCTTCTGAGAAAATTGATCCTAGGCTCTGTCTCCCCTGTTATCTTGGATAAAGCAGTTAGAAAATGGATGGATGAAAATTATATTATCCTCTTTGTCTGATAAATACTACACGAGGACAGGCAGGGTAGTGTGGCAATTAGTCCTGTCCTGGGTCCTGGGTTTGATCCTAGACGGGGGCAACTTCTGTGTGGGGTTTGCATGGTCCTTTCATCTGGTTACCTACCACCTTCAAAAAGCTTGTAGTCTAGATAATTTATGGCTTTAATTTGTCCCTTGCACTGTATTCTTCCAATTGCTGCTATATGTAATAGGAATAAGCTTCCTTCTGTTAATGGCTGGATACTGTAGATGGATAAATCAACCATGTAGGTGGTATAGGACGCACACACTCAGTTTTCTGTCATGTTTCACCTTTTTATGTAAGGTGTTTATTATTTTAAACGTTTTTTTAGTAGACTATGATTTTGGTTTAGCTTTTGTGAAGTAAGTGTTGTACACTGCAATGAGTGTACCAACATGTTCTGGTTTGTCAATAAAAGTTGTTTCAGGCCATGGCCACAATCTTAGATTTCTGACAGCTTGAGCCTGTCAAATTCACACTTCTAAACAGGAAACTCTGCAACCTTTAAGCTTCTCCAGGGTGTCTCCATACACATCTTGGCTATTTCACAGTTTTAATTCACAGATCCTTTCTCCTATCTGATTTTTTTTAAGTGGTATTTTTTAAGAATTTGAGTGTTAAAAAACAAAAAAAAAAAAACAATGAATGGATGATTGGTAATCAGGAAATGGCGTATTTTGGCTTTTGTTCCATTAAATGACTTAAATGAACTACAGTTTATTTACATTAAACCACAGTATATAGTGTGCAAACATTTTCAAATTTGAAATATAAAGCTGTTTTAATAGCTGGTCAAATGCTGTCAACTTTAGTCCATGTGCTCTGTACAAAATTATAAATTGGGTAGAACATAACTAATTCATTGCTA